CCAATCTAGCCAGAAGACAAGGCGGGAAAGGGTAGGGGTACAACAGGAGACTGGGGCAGGAAGTGAGTGTGGGCCCACCGCTAAAGGACTAGGTCAGGGCAGGGCTCAGCCTGTCGGGAACAGGAAATGATGCAAGAGCTGGAGTAAGGAGCACAGGACCCGATCTGTGCTTGTCAAAGATAAGCCAGGGGGGAGAACAGAGGGTAGATTAGACGGGAACACCAAGGTCCGGGAGACCAGTTAGAATATTCCAGCGGTCCAGGCCTAAATGAGGGAAGCAGCAATGAGTGGAAAAGACAGGGAAGAACGTGAGGGAAACAGAATCAGCAGCCTGGTGCCTGCGGGGAGGAGGAGAATTGGGAGAGCCCTGGAAACAGACAAGGGGTGGGGCCCCAGAGAGGCTGCGTGGAAAGACAGATCGGAGACTCCTTTCGACTCCACTGCAACAGGTCTGGCGCAAGCACTGACTACACAATGCAGTCGGTGGCTCTGACTGAGCCATACTCTACCCAAGAAATCAAACCTTGGCCAGTTTTATTTTCCACCAAATCCGAATTTGTCAGCCTGGGTTTAGGTGCCAGCACCTGGCCAGGCCTGGGGAGGCAGTGGTGAGAGCGAGGAGAGCGAGGAGAGGGAGGTGAGGGAGGCCCAGCACACGTTCTCCCTGGGGTTGGCCTCTCTCCAGAGGAGAGTATACAAGCGTTGTTAAGGGACAATCGCTCATTTACAAAATCACCATTGGTCCTGTCCTGCATATGGCAGGAATTCATGCTGGTAAATCTAGAAGTTGCTACTATTCTTTGAGAGAAAGTGAGTTTGATCCATAAACCCAGCAACAAAGGGAAGGGTAACGGAGGAGTGACAGAACCATGTGTGAGAACACCTCCAGCCCAGACGTAAGAAGCTGTCTTCACTGCTTCCCCTCGCCAAAGGTGTGGGAAGGCACGCCCTCGCACGGCTCGAGGTGCTTTGCACCAGTGCACAAGGGCACCAGGGCGGGAACGGGCTGATGTCCCGGCCCAGTGCTCACACACCGTTTAGAAACCAGAAGTAAAAATCTGCCTCTCTGAGCTGAAGGATGGCACTGCCACTGGGTTTTGTCTGCGGAGGGCGCTGGAAAACGAAAATCTACACAACTCTGAGGACCCATGTGAGAGGTTCCAGGCATTGTTTCTTCCTGCCGGTGCGTGTGGTAACACCGCGGGGGGAGAAGTGGTGATCTCTGTGGAGGCCTCTTCTCTTCTCCTCCTCCCTTGACTCAGGCAGCTCCCCAGTGGACGGCTATGACAGGTTTGTGCTTCTGGGGCTCCTCCCTACTGGGCACTACACAAGTGCAGCCCTGAAGCTGGCCTCACTGCTCTGGGCCCCATCTTTCCACAGCACCAAGCACAATGTACTGCGTTTTGTGCACACTGAAAACTTGATAAAACACCACCTGGAAGCACCGTACAGCTTTTAGTTATTCCTGGTGGTGCTATTTTCATTTCACTCATGATCTGATTCCATCAATCCAGGCTGGGATAAACCGAATTTAAGACAAAGCTCCAAGAATTTCCACAGAATGCCCCATTTCCTGCTTTGCAAATAGCAGCAGCAGGGTTTACAAACTTCAGCTGGAAAAAGGGCAGAGGAACACAGAGAACCAAGTTCAAGAAAAGAAAACCCAACTGTGAGCTGCTGCCCTGCCACCCAGGTGAAGACCTGAAGATGGGGTGCCCTGAGCTGCTTAGCTGACTCCAGCTGGCGGCCAGGGGAGCTCAGAGGCTACAACCAGATAATCAGAGGAAGCATCAGGGAGCTCCACAAAGCCCTGAGAGAGACGTGCGTGCCGAGGCCTTCTATCATCTGATGCTCACCGTGCTCTCCGAGAGGAATGGGCCAGAGAGAGGGGTTCTGGAGCTGAGAACTGGACTCTGCACCTCCTGGGCACATCTGTAAAATGGGGTCAGAGGTGCAGAGTGTGGGTTCGTAAGCCTCGGGGCTATCATTATTTTCGGTCATAAAATAATTTGCCTCTTGTCACAGTCACGCCGCGGGTAAATTACAAAGCTGGGGTCTGTCCCAGGGCCTGAGCTCCGCACCCAACTACTAGCACGGTCACTGTCTCACTTTCAAAATTAAACATGTTCTTTCAAAAACTATGTATAACTTGAGTGGCAGCAAATCAAATTGTATTTTGAAAAGTACCATTTAAGGTGATTCTATAGTAAACCCTTTTGAAAAGTAAATAACCCCTCATTTAGATTTATTATAAACACAAACTTTCACAGTCCTGGTTTATTAACAACCATCTGCCACCCTCCCAAGAAGCCCTGGTGGTGCAGTGGTTAAGTGCTAGGCTGCTAACAGAAAGGTCAGCAGTTCAAACCCACCAGCTGCTCCACAGGAGAAAGATGTGGCAGTCTCCTTCTGTAAAGATTACAGCCTTGGAAACCCTATGGGGCAGTTCTACCCTGTCCCTACACAGTCGCTGTGAGTTGGAATCGACTTGGTTTTGTTTTGTTTTTCATGCCATTCTCCCAAAGGGCTAAGAGGCCTCCAGGAAGCCGGCTCATTCCAGAGCAAAGGCTGAGCAGCTTCCTGCCTAGACCTCATACGTCACTGAAAAGCACGTGTTTGGGAGAATACTGACTTCTTCCAGTGAACTACGCACTTACGGAATTTTCCAAAGTTCTTGCTGTTGCTGACGTTGAGTCAGCCCCTGGCTCATGACAACCCGACGCACGATGGAAAGAAATGCTGCCCGGTCCTGCGCCATCCCCATGATCAGTTGTGGATCGGACCATTGTAATTCATAGGGTTTTCACTGCTAATTTTCAGAAGTAGATCGCCAGGCCTTTCTTCCTAGTCTATCTTAGAAGCTCCACTGAACCTGTTTAGCATCATAGTAACATGCAAGCCTCCTTTGACAGATGAGTGGTGGCTGCACGTGAGGTTCATCAGCTGGGAATAGAACTCGGGTTTCCCACACGGAGGGCATCCTACCACTGAGCCATCAACCATCTCTTGTCCAAAGTTAGCTTCCATTTCAATTTTCCACAAGGAATGTCATTTTATGATCATTTATTTTGGGGAGTTCCTGGGTGGTACAGACAATTAACATGCTCAGATGCTAACTGAAAGTTTGGAGGTTTGAGTTCACCCAGAGAGGCCTCAGAAAAAAAGGCCCAGCGATCTACTTCTAAAGAATCAACCATGAAAATGCTATGGAGCACAGTTCTACTCTGACACACACGGAGTCACCACAAGTTGGAATCAACTCAACGGCAACTGTTTTTTGTTGTTTGTTTTTAATTTGGGGGTAACGCCAAAACACAGTAATAATCCCCAGAGAACAGAAATCCATGTCCTACATCTACTAATAGGACGCCTGGGATAATAGTATCTGACCTTCACCAGGTGAGGTGAAGATAGGAGGAGACAAACGTATAGAAGTCACTTTTTAAACTGCTGTTTAAGCCTAATGTGTCTTACATCACATTTCACAGGGGAAGCCACTGTGCCCCACAGTCAGTGCCTGTGCCATACTCCCTCTCTGCTGAGGCTGCAAATCCCTCCCTGAAATCCTTCCCAATCCTGCTAGCCTCCCTCTGAAGTCCCAGATTACAGCCGGGTGAAGCAGCACCAAGATCAACTTCCAGTTCACTCAGAAACTCTGGAACTCAGCAAAAAAGTGTGGGTCTCGCAACAGCACCATCTTTTTGAAAGCAAGGGCCAGACCAAGATCCTTCAGAGCCCGGGGTTTTTGTCTCCTCTAACATCTGCCCCTGCATGAGACCAGGAGGCTGGTTCTTTCAACATTTCTAAAAGCAAACGAAAAAAAAAACCCAAACCTGTTGCCGTCAAGTGGATTCTGACTCGCAAATACCCTATAGGACAGAGTAGAACTGCCCCATAGGGTATCTAAGGAGGGGCTGGTGGATTCCAACTGCCGACCTTTTGGTTAGCAGCCACAGCTCTTAACCACTGCACCACCAGATCTCCTTCTAAAAGCAAGAACAGCCTTTATAGTTTTAAAATTCCAAGCAATGCTGTCATAGCACAAACAAAACATTACTCTGTGGGGAGTAAAAGCAAAACAGTTTTATTGAGGAAAAAAACAGCTATAGCTGGACAGCACTGCGTAAAAAAAAAACCAAAGTGCTCCACAGAAGCTAGGCAAAGGAGGGTTTTTATAGTCTGTAGAGAAACAGGTAATTTGTATCAGTCAATCTTTATCACATACTTACTTAGAACAGTCTGCACATTGTTTCCAGAAACAATCTTGACACACTTTCTTGGCACATATTTTCTGAGAACAATCATATCTCCTTCTGCCCGCCCCTCCCACTCCCCCTTCTTTGCCTTACTCCGAACAGTTCAAGTTAACCCCTTGCTAGAAATCCTGAGTGCCTTAAAGTTTTAGGTTTCTCCAACACTGCCAATAAAAAAGGAACCATAAATGTGGCCCAGCACCTGAGTTCCTTTAGCTCTGGAGTCTTTATCATTCCTCTGAGCACATCACATCGTATCCACCCACCAGGGTTGGCATATTACAGTCAACCCTACCTTATCAACCACCTGCCGCAATTCTCATCAAGGCCGCGTATGTCTTTTCCATGTACCTCTCACACCCCCTACCCCCCGAGACGCCACAAGGGAGGTGGAAGCTGGGCCACACAGGGGGCGGGCTGTGCAGACAGTCCTCCTGCGGCTGCCTGGCGCGGCGGTTCTCAGAGTGCGGTCCGCGGACCGCAGCGTTTCCTCTCTGGGAGCTGGTTAGAAACGGAAATTCTCGGCAGCCTCAAACGCTCTGAGGCAGAAACTGCGCTGGGACGGCGATCAGCAAGCCCTGCTGGGGCTGCTGAGCCTGGCTGCAGTGTTAGAACCAGGAGGTCCTCCCAGATTCGGAAAGGAAGCTGAAACAAGAACTAACTGTGATTCCCAGGAGACGAGACCCGAGCGGAGGCGGGTGGTCGGAATCTCGACGCGCCACTGACGCGAGGGGAGGAGACACTCACAGCCGGAACGGGTCGTGGAAGGGCAGCGCCAGCCAGGCGCCGTGCAGCTCGTGCATGAAGTCCCGCATCTCCTCCTCGCTGCCGTCGGCCGACACGAAGACCACCTCGAAGGGCGCGGGCGGCTGCGCCTCGTCCACCAGCTCCGTGTAGAAGTCGCAGAGCAGCGGCGTGAAGTCGCGGCTCGGCGCGCACCGGCCGGCTGCGAAATACAGCGCCACCACCTTGTTCTGCAGCGCCGCCTCGGCCTCCACCGCCGCGCCGTCGCAGGTCACCAGAAGCCGGCCGCCCAGCACGTCCACCATGGCGCGGCACCGGGACGGCTACCTGCGCGCGACCCACCCCCGGACTGCGGTCTCGGCTTCCCGCCGGGCAGGGGCGTTTGCACGTGGACACTCACCGACGCTGGCTACCCTAGATGCCGCATCTAAGGCGAGCCCAGCCCGCCCCG